AATTTTTATATTAAATTATTTGTAAGTCATTAAATTTATTGTTAATAAATGCTCTTTTAGTGTACTGGGATAAAATATCCATCATCAATTGCCTTTTTAAAATATACCGAGTTGCTGTAGATACTTATAATATAAGACAGTATTGTAGATAATTCAATTTTGAACAAATTTGTGGAATATTGCATTTTAATTGCACAAACCGTTTAAAAGTTACCAAGGGTTGTAATAAATAAATGCGCGCAAACGATTTGTCGTACTATATATAGTACAGCGGGTCAATACTGGTAAAAATGTTGTCACTTCAAATAGGGGCATGTGGGGGCTCGTTTGAAAGGTCTCAACAAGCCCTATACGAATATTAATGTGATGAACTCAAAAAAGCAATAGGGTTCCGTACAAGATAAATCACCAGAAACCACATTATAGTTTCAAACGCGATTTTAAAGTAACAGAGTTGCTGTAGGTACTTATAATATTAGAAAACATTGTAGATAATTTAATTTTGAACAAATTTGCCGAATGTTGCATTTTAATTGCACTAACCGTTTAAAAGTTACAAGAAATGCAATAAACAAATGCGCCCAAACGAGTCGTCGTACTATTATAGTATAGTGGGTCAATACTGGTAAAGATGTTGTTATGTTAAATAGGGGCTTGTGGGGGCTCATTTGAAAGGTCTCGACGAGCCCTATACGATGGAACCCAAAAAGCAATAAGGTTCCGTACAAGATAAATCACTAAGAACCTAATTATATTTTCAAACGCGATTTTAAAATACACCGAGTTGCTGTAAGTACTTATAATGTAAGACAGTATTGCAAATAATTTAATTTCAAACAAATTTTCCAAATATTTTTCTTAAATTCAACAAATATTTTAGAAGTTACAAGATTTTATCGTTAGAACATTAATTAGGAGTACACCGAGTAGCTCCAAAATGTCACTAAATATTGTACATAATTTAATTTTACATCAGTTTACAGTTCAAAAACTTATAATCAATATAAAAAACTAATGTTCAATATATATTTAGTTTTACATCAATTAAAAATTAAAAACCTGTAAACTAACTTCTGTTAACGACAAATTAAATCATTTACAAAGTTTTAGAACAATAAAACATTCTAAAGCAAATCTGTGTACTCTCAAATAATTTTTAAATATTTATAATATTTGTCAATTTAATTTGTATGCAACAGTAGATGTTACGTAACTGTTACGTAATATAATATGTTACGTAATTTTATCAACAAATCTGGACATAATTTTCTATTTATAATATTGCATACAAATTTAATTGACAAATATTATAAATAGAAAATTATGTCCAGATTTATTGATAAAATTACGTAACATGAGATAAAAGTTACGTAGCAGTTACGTAATATCTACATCTGCATACAAATTTAATTGACAACTGTAGAAATTACGTAACCGTTACGTGATGTACTATGTTACGTAACTTTATCAATAAACCTGGACATAATTTTCTATTTATAATATTAGTCAATTAAATTTGTATGCAGCTGTAATTATTACGTAATGTATTATGTTAAATAATTGCACAAATAAATCCGGTCATTAGTGTAAAAAATTATACTCAAAACCAAATTAAATCTTTAAAGACAAAAAAGAAGTCTACTAACAAGCAACCTGATAATGTTAAAATAAAATAAGTTGAAATAAAATATTATAAAAAAATCTTCTCCAATTTTTGTGACAAATTTCCATACTCCATGTAATTTTGTTTTATTTTTACCATTTAATTTGATTCGAAACAAATTTATCAAACCAATTAATTAAATTATAATTTTTTTCGATTTAAATTATTATTAAATAAGATATTAAATAATAAATTTTTGTACTATTACTAGTACATTGGGCTAATATGGCTCGAACGATATATACATATATATAAAGACGAATAAAATTTACAAATAAATATAATTGGCTAATTTAAAATGAATTTTCTAAGTAAAAGTTTTAAGTAAATTGCCTATTATGTATACACAAGATATATATATATATATATATATATATATACACATGTATATATTTAATTAAAATATATTAAGTGATGTTTTCATATTAGTATCACATATTACTATTTCACTAAAATTTTTCTCCGTAAAACAAATGCATCATAGTTAACTTAAGTACTAATCGTAAGATCAATTCGACATATATGTATTTTAGAGTGGTCCTTAATATGGACATTTTCTAATTTCTTTGCTCCCAAGGGCTCAAACGCTTTTAAATTGATAAAACTAAAATCTCCAAAAGTTTTAGCTCTTAATATTAACATTTTGACAGTCCGCGATTGGTTTAAAAGTATCGCATATTTTTTATTAAGTAAATACTTGCGCCATCTGTGACAGCAGACGTGTAATTTTGATGGCAATTTATTACTGATAATTTTAGCGTCAAAATAACCACTTAAATAAATATTTTGCTGCAAAATTAATTTTGATGCCATGATGAATAAATATTACGTTACTCAGTCCACATAGATTTAATTAGAGGTCAAGTGTTATATAAATATTTTTAAGTGTCATACACAGATGGCGCAAGCTTTACCTACGAAATTTTTAATTGATGTGCAAACTATCTAAATGTTAATATTAAAAGCTCAAACTTTTGCAGATTTTTTTTTTTATTAATTTGGAAGCGTTTTAGCCCTTATAAACAATGACATCAAAAAATGTCCATACTAAGGACCACCCTTATGTATATACATATGTCGTTAACAATTTTCAACAAGCCTTAATCTAAAAATGTATCCATTAACAAACAAGTTAGCCGATAATAACAATATTTGTTTCTCAATAATTATTATTTCTACGAGTAGAACATTTTAAAAATGTTCTATATATTAATTAATATATTAATATAATAGCTATTTGCTAAAATGTTCTAGAAGCTATCTTATCTTACCCTGCTATAAAACAAACTATTAGTTTAAGGCGTAATCGATTTAATAATTGAATTATTATCTTATTTAAGGTGGCGGTGGATAGATTTCGGAAATTTGTGGACATAACCTCAAACTTATAAATATATATATGTATATATATATATATATATATATACATATATATAATTTTGTATACGAGCATAGTGTCATACAATGAACTGGTGTGAACTCGATTTAAATTTTCTTCGAGATTTATTTTCTAATATTTTCTTTATTATCTATTTCAATGTTACATAACTGTTACGTAATTGTTAGGTCATCGTTTAAGTAAATTCATACATAATTTTTTACTCAAGAAACATTCTTCAATACAAATTATTAAAAATATTTGCCATTTGTAAATTGTAAATGTTACGTAACTGTTACGTCATAAAGTTTTGGATGTTACGTAATTGTATAAACAAATCTGGACATAAGTTTTTATTAATAATATTTATACTTATAATTTTTGTCAATTAAATTTGTATGCAGTTGCAGATATTACGTAACTTTTATGTCATTACGTAACTTTTGTGTCAAGGTATATACAATATTTGCCAGTTATAGTTTTATAAAGTTATAAAATGTTACGTAACTGTTACGTCATAAAGTTTTGGATATACGCAATATCTATCAATAGTATTAGTATGTTACGTAATTGTATAAACAAATCTGGACATAAGTTTTTATTAATAATATTTTTATTTATAATATTTGTCAATTAAATTTGTATGCAAGTGCAGATATTACGTAACTTTTATGTTACGTAATTTTATAAATATGTATAGACATATTTTTCCTCATTATAAGGTATATAAAATAATTGCCAGTTGTAGTTTCATAAAGTTATGAAATGTTACGTAACTGTTACGTCAGTAAAGTTTTGGATCTATGAAATATTTGCCAATAGCATTAGTATGTTACGTAATTGTATAAACAAATCTGAACATAAGTTTTTATTTATAATATTTGTCGATTAAATTTGTATGCACCTGTAGATATTACATAACTGTTACGTGATGCATTATGTTACGTAATTGTGTAAATAAATCTGGACATAATTTTTTATCTACAATATTTGTCAATTAAAATTGTACGCAGCTGTAGATATTACGTAATGTATTATGTTACGTAATTGTACAAATAAATCCGGTCATTTTTTCATTTATCAAATATCCCGTATTTTGATATAAAGAATTTGTCAATTAAAACTTTTCGTATTTGTAAACTTTCCACTAATATCAAAAATTTGTCAAATGAAATGTTATGTAATTTTTACGATGCTGCATTGATAAACCTATGTCTACAACAAAATTAGTCAAATGTTATGTAATAATTATGTAGATTAATAAATAATTCTGAGCAAAATTCTTATTTTTTAATGTACAAATTAAAATGTTATGTGCCTATAAATATTACGTAACTGTCACGTGATGGCATAAATAAATCTGGGCATTTTCAATTCATCAATTATTTAATTTTTTTCGTCAACCCATAGAATAGTTGTTAATTGTAGTTGTAAATTTTTCGTAACCGCACATTTTATATTTATGAAAATTTTCATCAGATTTTCAAATAAATTGTCCCTGTAATATTTGTCAATTGGAATTAATTCCATAAATGTTACGTAACTGTTTCGTGAACGCTACGTTATTAAAAAATCTAGTCATACACTACATTTGTATAGATATTGTTAATAATTCTTTATTATATTTATATGTAGAGGACAATAAATGTTACCTAATCGGTAATAAAGAAATCGTGTTATCATATTTTGAATATTCAATTTATACAATTTTCCGCAGTGTTACGTAACAAATACGCAATATTTTGTAAATATTACGTATTTGTTACGTAACACTGAGAAAATTGGAAGAAATATTTAAAAATTCGAAACATATTTCCATACGTAGCATAAATGATTTAAAAAAGAGCACTATACCATTTTTTAACACCTTGAGTTTACAGAAGTTGAAGTATTTTGTTAATGTTACGTAACTATTACGTAATGTTGGAAAAATTAGAAAAAACATTTTCATACACCTGGTCGCATAAATGATTTGAAAAAAAGCGCAATATCATTTTTTATTGTTACGTAAGTAGTATTAGTATTTTGTTAATGTTACGTAACTTTGGAAAAAATGATAAAAACATTGCCCCAAAAACGAGAACGTTATTAAATTTTGAACACCAAACTAATGACAATAGATTTTAATTTAGTATATCCAAAAAATGGTTCTGATGTTACGTAATATTGAAAAAGGTTGAAGAAACTAATAAAAATATATTGTCAATTAAAATTGTATGAAGATGTAAATGTTACGTAACTTTCACGTTACTGCATAAACAAATCTGGTCATAATTATTTATTCAAAAAATGTTCCGCATTTTTGTCAATTGACGTTGCAATGTAACTGCACATGTTACGTAACAGTTACGTTATCGTCAAGTTTTCACCAGTTGAAAAAACTATTGCCATCAACTACTTTCCATCCTCCTCTTTTCATAAATAAATCATAAAAAAACTCATCTTGCCTTATTTTACCAGTTCATCAAACAACCCCATCAGCCCTTACTCTCTACGCCTATCCTTTACCTCTATCCACCTCACAATTGTTACCTAGAACGTTCCTTACTCTCACAAAGGCCCATCACTCTCCGAGTCACTACTGCTCGACACCAGCAATTTCTCTCCCAGGGTGTGCTGCCTCCTGAGCTGGGATCTCGGGGTGCATCTGAGCAGAGGGGAACCCATTCGGGCGCCGGGAACCCAAATATCCTTATCCCTATACACCGGGTCATCGAAGACGTGCTCGTCGTCAACGGGCGGAGTCGAAGGCTTCTGGGGCATCAGGATCTTGTGGTGCATCGCCGGAGATTGGGGGATCGGGATTGGGGGGATGGAAATTGCGGGATGAGGGGGTGGTGGTGTCGGGTGAGTTGGCGGATGTGCTGCTCCGCTGGCGGGGGCCTGGTCTTTGTTCCTGGGGGGAGATAATAGAGTTAGAAAATTGATAATGGCGGTGGGTGAGGAAGAGTTTATGGGTTGCAAGATGGTTAGAGAGTATGTACATGATGGTAGTTTATAAATTAAATTATTGTTTCTAAATGTTTTTTCTCATCATGTACCCACAGAATGATAATTTTGATGTGTTTTATAATGTGAAACAGGTATACAAAATCATGGACCAACTCTTCCGCATAATAGACCAAAGTTATGGCAAGGCCATGTGTTGAAGAACTTTCCATACTAAATATTGACGAAAGCCAGATAGAAAACCTAAACTAACTAGTGGGGCGCATGGCATCGTGCCTTAAGGCAAATTGCTGGAACTTTCCGTACCAAAAATTATCTTTTTTTTTAAAAAGAATAACATTTTTGAAAAAAATTTACTCTTAACAAATTAGATTTTTGAGAAACTATAAATTTTTGACAAAAATTTTATTTTTTTGGAAAAAAAACTTTTTGAATAAAAATTTATTTCGAAATATTTTGGAAATTCTGAACTTTTTTTTTCAAAGCAATCGTACTGCTTTAACGGCATAGAGACGAAATAAAACATTGGTACGGAACCCATAGGAATGTAAACAAAATTTATTTTTATTGTTAAAATCTCTATAAAATATCCGATAATTTGATGTGCATATGTCTAATGATCAATTTTGAACGCCAGATGGCATGTTTTTACTTTTTTTACTAGATCTCCGAAACCGCTAGACCTGCCATCATGAAGATTTGATCAGGTGTTCATCTTGTTAATACAAGTAAAATGTCTTTGAAATTATTCAAATCGGACGCTCCGTTCTCTTAAAAACTGAGTTACCGTTTTTGGCACTTTTTGCCTCATATCTTCGGAACGGCTAAACCTGCCTGCGCCAAAAACTAATCAGCACGTCTCCTTATCAATACGAATCGAATGTTTTTTGAATTATTCAAATCGCTTCATCCGTGTTCCCGAAATCCTCGACGAAAATTTGTATCCGAACACGCACACATTTTGGTTATATTCAGTATGATTCAGTAGCATAATATATGCAAGTAGGACCGTAACATGGCATCGCCATAACATTGGTCAATTAGGCGGCAGAATCGGTCCCTAAATTATTATTTCTAGAGTTTTATCTCATCATGTACAAGTACCCATAGAATGATAGTTTTGATGATTTCTACCGGTAACAAAATTAAAGTACAATTTAATAAATTAAGGTATTCTATAATTATTACTTAATCGTAGTCTGAATCGGTGCAATGGTATAAATAAATAAAATTTGATGACTTCAGGCATTGTTAGAATGGATCTAAAGAGAGTGGTCAACTTGAGGAATTTTAACTAGTTCAACTAATGGGGCAATTCTGCTGTAACAGAGCTCATAAAATAGCGTTGTCATGGCAACGCTATCTTATGCTTGTTCTTGGTATTGAAAATTATGAAAATGTCTATCTATTTGATGTGCGATCAGGCGTAATTTACAAATAAACAAGCAAGGAAGAATCTTATAATAAAAGAATCTTAAATGATGTAGTTAATGCAACATTTTAATTATTTTAATCGGCAAAAAATCTATGCAAAAAAACCTAATGTGTCTAGTGACTATAATTTAGTTCCATTCTGAGACTACAGATGGACTTTAGTTCCTAAGATGGCGCTCTTTAGTTCCATTCTATGCCTGAAGATGGACCATATACACGCATGTGCCTTTTTCAAATATGTCTTTTAAACTTTTAAAATGTCTTTAAAACGTGTCGTGAACGAATTTTATCTTTATTTTGATTAACTCATAAAATAATAAATATATTACTATCACGATAAATTATATACATTTATATAATACCTTTTCTCATTACGGTGGCCAATAATATCCATAGCTTGTACTTTTGTTTTTGAAAAAATATACATCACATTACATACATATATATAGAGATATAGATATACATATATAAATAGAAGTAGATCGTTAAGATTTTTTTGCCAATTGTGCCAGAAACAGTTCGCAAAACGCCATTCGCATAATTTGTGTCGAATCCGACGTTTCGATAATATTAAAAATAAATATCATAAAAGATTTGAGGTCATTTGGTACAAGGTCACTTTTCAACAAGAAATTTTGAACGAAAAACTATGTTGCTATGGACCAAATTCAAGCAGAAACGTACACTGATTTGAATTTTATCTGTAAATCAATTATTGTTTGTTATTGATTCATCCTAAAGACGTACAAAAAATGTTATCGAAACGTCTGAATTTACGACAATTTATAAGCTTATAATCGGTGCGTGTACGCAAAATATTAAGGTGCGGCAATATATATTAGGGTGGTCCTTAATATGGACATTTTCGAATTTCTTTGCTCCCAAGTGCTCAAATGCTTCCAAATCAATAAAAGAAAATTCTATAAAAGTTTCAGCTTTTAATATTAACATTTAGATAGTTCGCAATTCAATTAAAAGTTTCGCATATTCATTATTAACATATGTCATTAAGTAAATGCTTGTGCCATCTGTGTACTCACTTAGAAATATTTATAAAACACTTAACCTCTAATTAAATCCACGTGGACTGTTTAACAAAATATTTATTCATCATGGCATCGAAATTAATTTTGCAGCAAAATATTTATTTAATTGGTGATTTTGACACTCAAATTATCAATAATAAATTGCCATCAAAATTACAAGTCTGCTATCACAGATGGCGCAAGAATTTACTTAATAATAAATATACAAAACTTTTAATTAAATTGCGGACTATCTAAATGTTAATATTAAGAGCTAAAACTTTCAGAGAATCGTTTTTTTATCAATTTGGAAGCATTTTGAGCCCTTGGAAGCAAAGAAATTTGAAAATGTCCATATCAAGGACCACCCTAATATATCTAATACAAGTTGGGTGCGAAGACATCCAAAGGTGCTTTTAAAAACGCAAAAGAATCCCATCAAAATGAAATCCGAAACGTCTTCAATAAAATAAAAGAAGTTTCACACTTATGTTAGACCTAAACAAATAACTAATAAAGAACACTTAGTGTAAAATATAAAGTTCTTCATATAAATTTGTTATTATTACAAGGGCCCCTTTGGGGGTAGAGCCGTACTAAATTTTGTTAAATTAATCCAAATACATAATCCTAGATAGAAATGGAATTTTAGATTAATTAATTATATAAATACATTATTAATACCTAAATAAATACCTTTTGCAAAAAAAACTAAATATTTATACGTATCCAGAATTCACGGTAAGACTATTTAGAGCTCAGTCGAATATATCAAATAAAAATTATAATACAGTTATATAAAATATAATTTTAAATAAATAAATAAATAATGTTATTTACTTAAGGAAATAGTCTCTATGCGAGAAAATGGTCCCCAAAAAAAGAAATAATCTCTAAAAGTGAAAAATAATCCTTAAAAGAAAAGAAAAGTTCCAAGAAGTAGACACGGATCCAAGAGAGAAAAAGCTGAAAAAGACGTTCTAGAAGTGCAAAGGTTCTCCAAAAGTGGAAATTGTCTTCAAAAATAAGAATGGTTTTCAAATTGTCTTCAAAGATAGAAATTGTCTCCAAAGAAGTAAAAAAATTGTCTCCAAAGATGAAAAATTTGTCTCCAAAGGTGGAAAAATGGCTTCAAAGATGGACAAATGAATCCAAAGATGGAAAATTTGTCTCCAAAGATAAAAAAATGTTCTTTAAAAAAGGAAATGGTCTCCAAAGATGGAAATTGTCTTCAAAAATCGGAAATTTGTCTCCTGTCTTCAAAAAACACTGGAAAAATTATCTGTAAAGATGGAAATAGTCTTCAAAGATGAAAATTGTCTTCAAAGATGGAAAAATGTCTCCAAAGATGAAAATTGTCTTCAAAGATGGAAAAAATGGCTCCAAAGATAAAAAAATTGTCTTCAAAGATGAAAATTGTCTTCAAAGATGGATAAAGATGCTCCAAAGATGGAAATTTTGCCTCCAAAATGGAAAAAATGCGTCCAAAGATGGAAAATTTGCCTCCAATAAATGGAAATTGTCTCCAAAGATGGAAAAAATAGATCCAAAGATGGAAAATTTGTCTCCAAAGATGAAAATTGTCTTTAAAGATAGAAAAAGTATCTCCAAAATGAAAAAATGTCTCCAAAGATAGAAAATTTGTCTCCAAAGATGGGAAATTTGACTCCAAAGATGGAAAATCTGTCTCTAAAGATGGACAAATAGTCTTTAAAAAAGGAAATGGTCTCCAAAGGAGGTAATGATCTATCCAAGAAGGAGAGAGGGTCTGTAAAGAAAGAAATGGTCTCCAAAGATGGTAATTTGTTTTCAAAGATGAAAAATTTGTCTCCAAAAATGGGAAATTCGTCTCCAAATATGGAAAATTTGTCTTCAAATATGGAAAATTTGTCTCCTAAGATGGAAAATTTGTCTCCAAAGATGGACAAATGGTCTTTAAAAAAATAATCTTCAAGTGAGGTAATAGGTTTATAAAGAAAGAAACGGTCTCCAAAGATGGAAAAATAGCGCCAAAGATGGTAACTTGTCTTCAAAGATGTAAAAAGTGTCTCTAAAAATGGAAATTGTCTTCAAAGATGGAAAACATGTCTCCAAAGATGGAAAAATCGCTCCAAAGATGGTAATTTGTCTTCAAAGATGTAAAAGGTGTCTCCAAAAATGGAAATTGTCTTCAAAGATGGAAAAATTGTCTTCAAAGATGGAAAAATTGTCTTCAAAGATGGAAATGTCTCCAAGGTAGGAAAATTTGTCTCCAAAGATGGAAATGTCTCCAAGGTAGAAAAATTTGTCTCCAAAGATGGAAAAATTATCTGTAAAGATGGAAAGTTTGTCTCCAAAGATGGAAAAATGTCTCCAAAGATGGGAAATTTGCCTTCAAAGATGGAAAATATGTCTTTAAAGATGAAAATAATGCCTGCAAAGTATAAATAATGCCTGCAAAGATGGAAAAAATGTCTCCAAAAATGGAAATTGTCTTCAGAGATGGAAA